ATTCTTCCTCTTTCACTCGATTAACAGCAAAAAAGAAAGAATTGATCGTATTCGTTTGTCTATAACATTCTATAAACACATATTAATAATTATTAAAAAAACATATATATTTATTTCTGCTAGATATTATCATTGTTCAGTGAATTATAAACGGCTAGATTTTTTCTTTCTCCCGAAAGATTATGGTAACTCATTGTGGCAAGTAGCTGACAAAATCAGCACCGTTCCACATTTCAAAATAATATGCATCCTTGGTGACGTTATCTTCCCATGATTTCAAACAGTCAAAATGTCCCCTAGATTACACTCTTTTAAATATGTTATTTGCAATTTCCTAAAGCCCTATCTCGTAAACATTGAAGTCGGCGCCATATTTTTCCAGAAAGAACATTTTCGCAAAACTGTTGTAACAAAATCGGACGTATACTGGTGAAATTCATATGCTTGTTTTCGTCCGTGTCACTGAAAATACACTCGATGTTTGGAAATAAACACATTTTCTTTTGGCTTTATTGGGAGTTTGTATTCACTTTTTTTGTCCGTCTGTTTGGAAGATAATGCTCATTCACAATGTGGAAATGGTTTTTGGTTTTCTCATTTTTTGGGTCCATATTAAATCAACACAAGCTTCTGAGCGTCGGTCTTGTAATTTCCGCGTGCCGAGAATATTTTCCACGAGTAGCGACGAACTTTTCACAATATTTGAAAGTGCTGTCATGATTAAAGGGAATTTGGGCGTTTCCCGTTCTATACTCGTTCGTCAATTTTCTAGTTCTAATTAACGAAATAAATGAACTGTGTGATGCGACCCCCTTGTGGCTCATCTTGAAATGGCAGAAATCATTAGATCAATGATTCGAACTTTTAACAAACGAAAGGGAAATTTTTTCCTGGATAAGGAAAACAAAACAAATTGGTAATCTTGCAAAGATTTAACAAAATTTAGTCGAGGTAAAGTAAAATTTAGTATGGTATTATATTATGAAATTGATATACATGTAATATGTTATTATATTGATATGATATAATAAAATTATTGGAGGAAGACCTCAGGTGCCCCTCTGTAATTTATCTCAGGTACAAGGGGCATCTGAGTGAACCACCGGGCGTTGTAAGCTAGTGGTGCTTTTTTACATGAAGAATCTGAAAACGAAAATTAAAAGAGTGAGAAGGAGGGTTGGGAAAATCAACGACCTTTAACCCCTCGGCCTCGGAGCCCCCAAACCCCCCCCTAAAAAGAAAACGCGAAAAAACCTGAGCAACTTTCAATATGTAAGTACATAATTTATAATAATTAAAGTAAAATAACGTAAGCCGGTTTTAAAAAATTTTTGGGAAAATGATCGATTATTTAGGGCTTTTTTTAATTTTCAATTCTAAATTTTAAACCCGAGAACAAAATCCCATTTTAAATGAGGTATAAAAATTGCTAGGTTTTGGGTGAGGAAAATCCTTTTTTTACCGTGTTCTTCGAATCCCCCGGGGCGTCTGAAAAATTTAATGAAGTTCATTAGTGCTTTTCGGATGCGAATATTCATGTTTAAAACAATATGCTACAAAAAACATATGTAACCTCTGCGGGGAACGCTAAACTTGGTTGTCTTTAAAAATGCTTCTTTAAACAGGTAAAAATTTTTTTAAGTCTTGTTTAGGGAAAAAAGATACTTTGTTGTAAAAAGGCTATGTCTGGAGAGGGCCCCTATGCAAAGGGGGGCAATGTATTTATGTAATGTACTTTTATTATTAAAAATTTGAATTTTTCCCCTTTTTCACATAAAAAATTTTAAACCAAAAAATTAAAATTAATATTTCAGATGAAAAATTTTTCTGCACTTTCCTGAGCCATTGAAATTTTTGACAGTTTAATTTACATTTTCCCCAGTGAAAATGTTATAAAGTTTGTTTTGTAGTCACAAAGACGCCTGTCCAATTATTAATTGAAAGTTTATTATTTAAACTTAACCGTCCATCTCTGTCCAACTGTCCAATTCCTTGTTGTTGTTGTTGTTGTTGTGGGTTTTTTTGTTGTTGTTATTTTTTTATTTCTTTTTTTTTTTTTTTGGGGGGGGGGGGGTTCTTTCTTTTTTAAAGCTGTGTCGCTATTTATATTTTATACATTAATTTAATGTATCATTGTTAACATTTACATATTTAAACAAAAAAACGATTTAGAAAAAAAAAAAAAAAAAAATAAATATATATATATATAATATAATATATATATTATATATATAATGAGCCGTGTCACGACAAAACAACATAATGGGGTTTTGCGACCCAGCATGGAAAGACCAGCCTGCGCATCCGCGCAACAGTCTGATCAAAGGATCCATGCTGTACGCTTACCAACCCTATTATATGTAGAGAAACTGATAGCGACCAGCATGGATCCTGATCAGACTGCGCGGATGCGCATGCTGGTCTGGATCCATGCTGGTCGCAAACCCACTATGTTGGTTTTGTCATGACACGGCTCATATATATATATATATTTATCGTTTCGCGATTCTGTTTTCACGATCACGTCCAGCCTTCACATTTTGTGACATGAATATATACCGCTTTGATTCTTGATGTCAACTTTTTGCGAGCAAAAAGAAAAGAATATGATAGAAATCAGTCATCATATGAAAGTCCAGTCTAATAGTTTATATCTAAATATTACGAATCATAAATTAAATAGTTCTTTTCACACAAATTATCCAAATGAGTTTACGCTGTATGAAAGTAAAGATTATCACGATCTTGTGAAAACATAAAAAAGAAACCATAACATTTTTTTCAAAAAAGGTGAAAATTTTTTGGTTTTCAAAAAAAAACAAAATTTTAAGGAAAATTTAAAAATTTTAATTGACGATAATAACTTAAATTTTTGGGAAAATTTACTTTTGCATTTAAAAGAAAAATGTATTCCAGAAAACTTAAAATTTAAAGGGAACATAATTTACATTAAAACGCATTTGTAAGTTTAAGCGTAAAAAAAATGAAAAAATAAAAACGATTTTTTCCCCCTTGGCCTTTTTTACCCTAAAAATTATGAGAATTTGCCCCGTGATATAATATATACTTTCAGGTTAACCTACTCTATTCCATTTACTGTCAAACGGAACAACTCGGCTATTATTCATAATAATTTCTTATACGAAGAATGACGGAAAAGACCGAAAAGTTGCAATTGCACCTTACAAATAGTACGCTCTAATATACCCGTATCTTGTGACCGTATAACATGTAATTTGATATGGATGTGCATGTTGTAGCATTTAATGTTAAATTAATGTATAAACTATTAGACTAGAAGAGATACATGCTTAAAATTTATGCAAGTTGAAGGCGGTGTACTTATGCTAGAATAAAAATTCAATAAAGAGTATACATGTAACTCACCTAACTAGAGTGAAGAAAAGAAAGAAAGAAATATGGAATTGTTGTGGTAGTTATAAACAACAAGAATCATTGTAGGCACATAGGCAATTAATTTTTAAAAAATGTAGTGATTTAAGAGGATCGTCCCTTGTAATATTTTACACCGAGCCTGGTGATAATTCATCAATATGTCTTTGTTTTTTGTTGTTGTTTTTTGTTGTTGTTGTTGTTGTTGTTTTGTTTTCAATTTTTTGCTCCCGGTGACAGACCATACAAAAAACAATAATACATGACCAAAGGTTTGTGTTTCGGAAGATCAAAATCATCTCAAGAATGGTCTAATGATTTCGAGCAGTCCCTTTTAGCTTTTCTCGGCCTCATGCAGAAATTAAAACTTTGTTCAAAATTTGGACTTGCTTATCTTTCAGAATACAATAGAAATGGCTGGCAAACTATTTGGATCGAAATTAGGAATGTGTTGATAAGCAAAAAGAAAATAAAAGTACAATCAGTACTTTTTCTTTAAGTACTTCTGACTTAATACTGATTTCTCAGCAAAAACTGTTTTTACAGGTAGTAATTTTGACTTTAAATACAGCGAAGCCAATACAATATAAGAGACATTTATTCTTTTATTCCACATTAGAATCTTAAAGGCCAAGGTCAGAAAAAGATATTAAAGTATTGGACCATGAATTGACAACTTTAGCCTTTCATTTGGTTGACCACAAAAAGCGTCACGTCAAAATGAACATAAAAAATCAAATTGACGTGAAAAGTTTTTTAACTTTTACGACATTGCGACCTTAACCTTTTTCTTAATGATCATAATAATGCAGAATATGTAAAAGGGGACCAGCCTATGAAGATTGAAGAAACTCAAAAGTTATTTATAGATGAAACAGATGACAAATTTTCAACAACTAATAAAACAAACAAAATATCAATCAAATTTGACAATACCGGTCCCTACAACATACCCTTCGTGCTTCATGCAGGGTATTAAACTTGATTTTGAGAAAACTGTGCGGACTTAAATGGTTGTAAATTATTAAGCAAGGAATATCAGTAAGAAAAAGTATATAAATCAACTTCTTAGATGTTATTCATAACTAGAAAAACATAATTACAAGCACGTGAGCGTGAAATTCGTGATTTTCAGCTCATAACATCCGAATACATGACACTTTTTATCTAAATGAAATTTAAATGAGCCGCGTCACGACAAAACCAACATAGTGCGTTTGCGACCACAGCAACGCTATCGTATGCGTTGCTATCGTTTTTACTGTAATAATGGTCGAACAGCAGATCATAACTGTGCGGAGCAGCTGTCTATCATGCTGGTCAAAGCTGTTGGTTGTCGTGACAGATAAATGTAAAGCGTCCTAAAGTAACTAAGTTGGCTTTCGCCATGTACATGTAATTGGAAATATACCAGTTTTCAATCAAACCTGGCTTGATCTAAACAAAAATAGCAGAACTATTTTATCAAAACCAAAATTTGTACATTTAGTCGCCCCTTTGGCGAAAGTTTGTAACATATGCAGAATGTTGGAGAGTATTACATGTAAAATGACTATCCATAAAGGCTTATCATAGCAAAGGTCTAAAAATATGAGATACTGAAATGAGCCGCGTCACGACAAAACCAACATAATGGGTTTGCGACCAGCATGGATCCAGACCAGCCTGCGCATCCGCGCAGTCTGATCAGGATCCATGCTGTTCGCTTACCAACTCTTTTACAAGTAGAGAAACTGATAGCGAACAGCATGGATCCTGATCAGACTGCGCGGATGCGCAGGCTGGTCTGGATCCATGTTGGTCGCAAACGCACTATGTTGGTTTTGTCGTGACGCGGCTCAAATGGAACCTACTTTCATTAATTAGCTATATGTATTTACAAAGATATATCGCAATCTTTGTCTTATCTCATTTTCAGGCTTGCCACAACAATGTTTACTTACCAAAGTTTAGCGTTTGTGTTCTTGTTAGCGTTTGCTGCAATTTCTAAAGTAAGTAAAATATTTGCCATTGTACATTTGTATATTGTCACGTAATTTGGTTAGTTATTTTCTATCTGAATCTAAATCTGATCGATTGAATTGATTTCATCCTTGATCACAGTGCCTAAACCACGTGACTTTTTGTGATCTGCGTGGGGTGCTGAACACCAGTACAAAAGGCCATCATAACTTTTATATATTTCATTTTATTTTCATAACTATTTATTTAATGAAGTGAACTGTATACCTTATTTATTAATTTTAGTACGTTTATATACAAAGCGTTTATGGGAGAGTGAAACAGCGTGTTTGAACAATTAAAAATTCACTAAACAAAAAATTACTGATTTTTATCTAAAATAAAACATTCTATATGTGAGCAACCTCTACACATACATACTATTCCCATACAAATAATGAAACATTACAAGAGTATGAAGAAAATAATACATGAACCTTCTTTTACATTTGTTTTCTGCCTTACATACGAAGATCACAATTAAGTGTCACTTGATTAGGCATCGTTCTTGCTGAATTCATAGCAGTTTTAATTGTAAACCAATCCCTTTCATTCGTAATGTATTCGAAGCTTTAAGGCGCAATGCATATACAGTTTACCTGTACTTTCATATGAGCAGCGTCACGACAAAACCAACATTGTGCGTTTGCGACCAGCATGAATCCAGACCAGCTTGCGCATCCGCGCAGTCTGATCAGGATCCATGATGTTCGCTTACCAACTAGAAAACTAGAGAAACTGATAGCGAACAGCATGGATCCTGATCAGACTGCGGGGATGCGCAGGCTGGTCTGGGTCCATGCTGGTCGCAAACCCATTATGATGGTTTTGTTGTGACGCGGCTCATATTTAATCGACGGAGATTAGACTCATTGTGTGATTTGATACTCCCTCACCGAACCACCCCTACCTCTATTCTATAGATGTATATTGAATTTTTTTTAATAGTATTGGTATGAATACTAAATGTATCTATAATTTTAGGGGAATGTGGCAGGAATTTGGGGAGGAATGGCGATATGAGGGCCGCGAGGGCTCAGATCACAGCGTCTTACCCTTGTGATCAAATTTACAAATTGTATGCTGCAATTATTTGTACTGTATGTAATGTACAAAATGTTCCATTTCTAAGCGATATTTTATTAAATCAGAGCTGGGGCGTGCGTTGAACATTTCGATTTTTGTTCTCAAGTCAGATTTTTGCAATACTGTAATGTTTTCCTTTACAGACGGACGGATGTTCGTCAAATGTTGACTGTCCACATGGTCAGTGCTGCGGAAGTATGCTGCCAGATTTGCTGGGTCTACTTCAATCGTGTCAAGTCTACAGCAAGGAGGGTGAGGGATGTCACGGTTCACTGAATTGGTGCCAGCTGCGATTGTGAGCCCGGGTCTCACATGTGTAGAACATACGGGTATTTTTGCAATCTTGCACACCAGCACAGGGGTTTGCACTGCTCAAGGAGGAACTACCAATCCTTTACCCGAGATATTTGGAAAATAAGCATGAAATTACTGATGTCTTTTTTAACCTGAACTTACAACCATTCAATAAAATAGAAATTGCGATTAAAGTAAATAAAACTTGCATTGTTTTATATGAATAAGAAAAATATCAAACCCAAAGAAAAAAGTATATAAACATTATTTGACCTTTGACCCCCAAGTACAACTTTGGGACATGGGTCTTTGCGCACAAAAAAGAATCATTTTTCATGTGGGATTGCATCTGCATGCAGAAGTTATCGGGTGGACACTCAATCTGCACTTTTACCACTATATGGCAAAATGTCAAGTTCAATCCCTTGCTATGACCCTTTATAATTGAGCTTGAGGGCATTTTGGGTTTTTGCACGCATTAAAATCATCTTTTTTGATTATATAGGGGTTTTCCCCCTTTTATACTGAAAAATCATCATGAATGCTTTAACTTGAGACTTTTGATTTAAAAAGAAAAAAAACATTTAAAAGGTTTATTCCCCTGCTGTGCACTTCTGTGAAAAAAATACCTTTTTGACCGAACAAAAAGCGGACAGACAAATGAACTGTCAGTTCACAAATAATATGGTCATCAAGATAACAAAACAAATGGAATTAACATTTTATTTTCTATTGTAAACAATGAAAAGAAAAAAATCTGAAAACAAAATGACCGGTTTAAAGAGCTTTTATTAATTGTTGGCCTTCGAATCTTTGACATTTATTTGAGATTTTTGGCATATTTAGTTCCTGTCACTCTTGTTTTTTGTATATACATGTATACATGTACTAGTATATAAATATGCTTTTGCCCCTATTCACATATTAAAAATGATACACATACAAATGTTTTCCAAAAGCAAATATTAAAAACAAACTAAAAAAGCCGCAGGTGGAAGTTTCGACAAATTTTGAAATTTTGAATTTAACAGCCGGCTGCATCCAGATCTCCAGATGAGCAAAAATATTTCAAGAAAAAACAAACTTGAGAAAAATTAAAAGATTGAAATATCAAACAATATATGATCCGCATCACAGCAAAACCAACATAGTGGGTTTGCGACCAGCATGGATCCAGACCAGCTTGCGCATCCGCATCTGATCCGGATCCATGCTGTTTGCTTACAAACCCTATAACAAGTAGTGAAACTGATAGCGAACAGCATGGATCCTAATCAGACTGCGCAGATGCGCAGGCTAGTCTGGATCCATGCTGGTCGCAAACAATTGATGTTGGTTTTGTCGTGACGCGGCTCATATCCTTTGTGAGAATAATGAATGATTTTGCATTATTTGTCATCATATGAAGTGACTAACTCAATAAGCCGTAATTTTGCATATTTTGTCCACTTTTGGTAATTTACAAGGACTGATTTTTCAAGTACTGTTTGCAATGGGTGATTTACATTTTTAATGGCATTTTCAAAATTTTCATGAAAATCAGCATGAATCTGGAGATATGCCGCTGTAATAATTGTTCTGCTAACTTTCAAAACAGAATTTTAAAAGTCTAAATCATTCTGGCAAAAGAGGCGGCGAAATACTTAGAAGTAATATTTCCTGGTGCCAGCATCTACCAAGAATATTATTGTTAAAAGATAAAATAACACTTGCAACTGATAGATGAACGATGCATTTTGTATTTCATTATCTAAATTGTGCTCAAGTGTAATATGACAACTTGATGGTGTTTACGTCCTTAATAATATAAACTCTGTTTTTTTCTAATGAGAAAAAAAAAACGAAAAGAAAAGACTTGAATTACGATAAAGTAAGAAATCTTAACTTACCATATGCCAATTTTTGTATGCATTTATGCAAATTAATGCAACAAAAAGCATATTTTGGTACATTATATAACAGTATCTATATCATTTTAATAACAAACATCCACTTGTTTTTACAACGATGTTCGCGATCATATTATCATCTGCAAATATAACATTGCATCCGTTGATTTTTTTTTGTACTATTTAAATTGTAAATTTCTTATTTATAAGTGAAACTCGAACCTGGCTGCCATACATATGCTTAACATGCTATCATCAATTTTATTATAGTTTATATGCTGAAAAAAGATATAAATATGAGCCGTGTCACGACAAAACCAACATAATGGGTTTGCGACCAGCATGGATTCAGACCAACCTAGCTGCACTATGTTGGTTTTGTCATGACGCGGCTCAAATAATGTCCAAATAACAATATAAATGACAAGACGCAATATGAGAACAGCAAATTTAAGAGCAAAAATATATCTATCAACTCGGACAAAGGTACAAACAGACACAACAGGACAAAAAAACTGTGAAAAGAACAAAAAAATAAATTAAATAAAACTGCGTCATAGTAATAAAAAATAGGATAGAAAAACATTAAATCATCCTAATGGAGTTTAAAGTTTCCTTATCAAAGATTAAACAACAACAAAAAATAATGAGAAACTGCATGTCAGACAATGATTATGTTACACGGTATCTTTAAGTGTTTTCTTTGATGTATCATTCAAGAAATAATATGATACTACGAGGGTTGTTCTATAATTAATGGGACTTTAAACGTTATTAAACTATTTGAGCCGCGTCACGACAAAGACAACGTAATGCGTTTGCGACCAGCATGGATCCAGACCAGCCTGCGCATCCGCACAGCCTGAATCAGGATCCATGCTGTTCGCTTACCAACTCTATTTCAAGTAGAGAAACTGATAGCGAACAGCATGAATCCTGATCAGACTGCGCGGACGCGCAGGCTGGTCTGGATCCATACTGGTCGCAAACCCATTATGTTGGTTGGTTTGTCATGACGCGGCTCATTTATTGAAGTTTTTAAATTAACATTAAGCTAGGTCAGTCTATCGAAATACCCAACTTTTCACTCATGCATACTTTGAAACTTTTAATCCAGCTGGTCCTTTTCACACGCTCCTTTTTTCTGGTCCTCATTCCTAAGATGGGGTAACACGCATGTTTCTCGTTTACATATATTGTATCTTCTCCCTGTCAGATTAAAAACGAGATATCCGTCTCGTAACTGTGCTACTGTATAGAAAATTTCATTCTTACCGTAAGTATCACAAATTTCACAACAAACGAATTTTGTGTGAATATGTGCATGTTGCTTCGTATTTGACGCCAATTCAAAGAGAACGCTAACCAACCATGCTTGCATGATTTGATAGCAGTGGTCCTTGCAAAAATAAATGATCGCATCGTATACTTAAAGAACTAATCGTATGCTTAAAGAACTTATCGATCGCTGTTCCAGAAAGCGACCATTTCACGCGATAGAGCTTTGAGCTGTATATTGCTGTGAAGAAGATCAACCTACAAGATACATGCACAAAACTTAACACACCTTAGAGTGTAATAACTGCTCGATCTGTGTGGTAGTGTGTGTATTAGTTTTATAATATTGCACGACGATTTTGAGATTTTGTATAACATATACAGTTGCATTAATTATGAAACATCCCTCTCGTATCCTACAGTTAATTACAGTTGTGTGATTGTATATTAAATGTAACAGGACAATATTTGTGTTATTTATACTTTAGCCATTAACACGAAGTAAAAACTTTTTCACTTCATTGACAAATCTTGTGTTAAAATATACTAAAGATATGGACAGGATGGTTAAAATCGTATCTTTTATTCTTGTCTTATATTCTTTGAATTCAGTGTCATTAGCAGATGTCAACGACAGACAATTGAAAGTATACGAAGCGAAATTGGCAAAGGAGATAAACAGATACGATGACAGTGTGAGTGCTATTGTATCCGTGTCAAAAAAGAATGTGTTGTCGATTGAGGAAATAACTGTTTTAAAAAGTAGTTACACAATGGCAGTTGGTACTCGTGTAAAGTCATTGCGATACTGAAAGGAGCAAGGACAAAAGGCTGATCGTGAAAGAAAGTAATTATAGACAACTACTGCACAAAATTAGAAGGCGAAATCACCAATGTTGAACGTGAAGTTCAGATTGCTATAAAAGAGTATTTGAGGAAACCGGCTGATTATGAAGGGAAGGTCAAAATATTTACTTTGAAGGGAGAATCTTATCAGTATATGTCTGAAGTAAATGCTAAGGCAGAGAAAGAATATAAAGCCTATGCTGAAGCAGCTTTCACTGAGGCATATAACATTGCTAAAGAGAAACTATCCCCTGCAAACACAGCACGATTAGAGTTAGTTGTGAGCTACACTTCGTTTGAATACAATACCATGAAGAACATCGATGGTGCAACTAAAATGGCTTATGACGAATATCGTGCGGCAATCACGGAAATTGATAGCTCATCCGATAATGAGGAAAGTGCCCGACTTATTGCGATTCTCAAAAAGAATTTGGATCTTTGGACACAAGGCGAATAACTGTGACTAAAAAAATATAACATTAGGCAAAAATGTTTACTTTTAATGTAAAATATAGTTTTGTTAAAATATGCATGCTAATTGGTTTTCAAATTTAATGTTTTCTGTATAGCAAACTCAAGAAATATCGTCTTACTTAGAGACTTATTAAAATTGGACTGTACATATTATGGTATTCTCAATTTTGTATTATGATATTCTCAAATTTGTATTATGATATTCTCACTATGTAAAATTAGAAATGTAAATTAAAAAAAACATCCAAGGAGAAGAGCGGTCGATTTTTCTCCATGTCGAATGAAACTACATATTCTATAAATAAAGTGATAGCAACATACAAATGTTGATATACAATTGAAGGGTAGAATCTATATCTTATGAAATATTTTTATAAAATTTATCAACAGTAAAATTATATTGGTTCCATTATTATATGTTTGATTCCCGAAAATGTTGTAAAATAGAATGTCTCTGTTATTTAATACACCTGAAAATGTACGTAAACAGAATAAAATGTTCCGGAACTAAATTAGTTTTCTTGCTATTTTAAGTAGGGTTTTATCCGTTGTGCATGCGCCACTCGCTTTAAGGCAATTTCATTGCAATTTTTATTTCATACAAGCATTTTGGAAGTATTCTTTTTTAAAATCCAAACAATTCTTGTATCAGAAATATCCTCTATTTATTTTATGCTTTTCAGTGGATTACTGATTTATCCGTAAAAATTATATTTGATAATTTCACAGTGAAAATTATCAAAATATAATTTCACACTTTTCAATGACGAAACTACTTTTTAAGATTTTCCCCATGTGGTACCTCAATTTTATTTTTGCTGACAATTGTGACAATGTTGGGATGTTTAAAGAAAAAGCAGAGCTGAAATTGATTAATAACTTAAATGTCAAAAGTGAGAAAAAGAAGAAAACTTACTTCTATTCATTCAAATTCCATCTATAAATTTTTTTGTTTCATTTTTACAGTCTGGAAAATACATTCCTTCCACATGCAAAACTGCTCTTGATGACATTTGGGTATATTAAAGTATCCTACGAGCAATAACTGCCGTATGCTTTATGAAAAAATCAAAAGCAATGGCAGCCATCAAGCCCGTAAAATAAGTAAACTACCCAGCGTTCCTGAGCTAGCTTCAAGTTTTCCATTTTCTATAGCTAGCTGCATGATGAACGTTTTCACATCTGTCAACACTTATTTTTTTTGTCTGTTACAATCCTCAATTATGTTTTCTTCCTTTTAAAAAGGTGTATGACTAACAAATCCAAATGATATCTCTGAACCAAACACAATTATTTTCCTCCCGTGAAATACACAGCTTCAAAAAAATGGCTGCCGCTTACATTTAACAAAGCCATGTCTAATATAAATTCGCAGTAAGTAACAGAAATATGGATGGGTGGTTGGACTTTTTCTCCTACAACAATTGTTTGTTTTTATTATTAAAACAAGCGATCATTCATGTTTTTTAAATAAAATGAATAATATCACCGTCATTTAACGTTGATTGTCGAATTTTTTTTTAAGCTAAAGACTTCTTGTAATTAATAAGAAATTCAGACTAAATGGGGAAACAGATTTTGATAATAACGTTTATATTGTTGAAATTTCGTTTTAACATGTATAAAAAGAAAATTTGTTTGTTTGTTGCGTAAGATGTAATTTTATTTCATCTCGTGAACTTTAAAATCAGTATTCTCACTCGTGGCTACGCCACTCGTGAGAATACTGTTTTTAAAGCCCACTCGATGAAATAAAATTTCATCTTACACATCAAATATCCTCTATATTTACTTTATGTGTTGTGCGACAAATAAAACTCATTAAGGTGCATCTACATACAAAGTATGCATTTTCAATGTCAATTTCTTTTATTTAATGGCAAGTTCTGTGTTTTGCTGTTTTATATCCAAGCAAACTTGACCCCTTGCTCGTTTGACTTAAAAGATAACCACTTAACCAGCAACCTTAACCTTTCCACTAAAACACTTGGTGTGACAGTCAAAACTCTTTATACGGACTTCACTGGGCTTTTTTTTGCAAGACAGGACTGGGAATCTGATGTACAAAGGTCTAGACCAATAACATGTGTGAAAAAAAAATTCAGTGCATTCGCTCTCTCGTGTTCCAGAATAATGATTCAGATTGTAAAAATACCCATAATTGAAAGCGTTAAACAGCTTTTAACCCATTACTTCATATAGACGTCTTTCAATCCCCCCTTCTGATGCCTCACATAGTAAGTAAACAAGAGCTGTCACAGGAGACAGCGAAGCTCGACTAATAAAATACTGGACGCAGTAAGGAAGACAAAACTATTAAAGAAAAATGAATCATGTATAATTATGTATTAAGTTATTGTAAAAAAGATCAAGGGGAATAATTCTAGTCATGCAAGAGTTATGAACCTTGTCACAAAACATGTGTGTATTGATAAGAAATATATATTTGAAGTTTGAAGTGAATACCTTAAAAAGTAAAGAAGTTATAATATTTGCTAAAGAAAATCCTAAGTTCAAAGAGAGATAAACCTGTAAATATTGCTTCAATAGTTATGAACCTTGTCACATAAAATGTTAAAATGATAAGGAATAAGCATTTGAAGTTTGAGGTTTATACATTTAAAACTAAAAATGTTATAGTAAAAAATAACATTTTTCAAGTAAAAAAATCTAAGTTTATCGGGAGATAATTCTTGCAATATTGGTGCTAGAGTTATGAACCTTGTCACATAACATGTGGTTAATGATAAGGTACATATATTTGAAGTATGAAGTTGTTCCCTTCAGAAATAAATAAGTAACAGTAAAAACTAATATTTTTTAAGGAAAATTCAAAGTTCAAGGAGAGATAAATCTGCAAATATTGGTGCTAGAGTTATGAACCTTGCCACATAAGATGTGAATGATGATAAGGTACATATATTTGAAGTACGAAGTTGATTCCTTTAGAAATAAATAAGTAACAGTAAAAAATGATTTTTTTTGGAAAATTTTAAGTTCAAGGGGAGATAAATCTGAAAATGTTGGTGCTAGAGTTATGAACCTTGTCACATAAGATGTGGTTGATGGAAAGGAACATATATTTGAAGTCGATACCTTAACCAATGACAAAGTCATAGTGAAAAATATTTTACTGCACCAAAACTTTAATCTGAACACTGGGCGAGTAGGACAGCTCTCCATATACATGTACTTCGTATAGTCGAGCTAAAAATGCCCTAATTAGACATCAAACACTTTTTCTCTTTTGAGAGATGTTGTTCAAAAAAGTGTTCACTTTTTCAGCGCTGTCCCTATCAAAAAGATACATCAGCGGGGTGCCCCGAGGGGTGTGTGCCCCTTTTTGCATAGGGACTTAAAGCAGCTCATCTCTTCGCCAAAGGGCAATATGTAACAATATGCCTTTAAAGTTACAACTGATATTGTTGTTATTGGTTTATTTAGATTCTACGGATCATACTCTAGAAGATATATTGTTAAATTTCTTGACTATAGGAACGCCTCCTTACTAGTGATTTGTTAATTGATTTCTGCGTTGATATTATCGATATACAATTCTCTTTTCGGGGAGAAGCGATATAGAGATGAATTAGAAAAGGTCATAAAAATAAATGACCTGGGTTGTTGTCGTAGTTATGGAAATAAACTTAGAAATGATTTTGTAGTTGTTGTTTAACTCCCATCCTGTTACATGGGGGTTTCCACGAACTTTAGTGACATATTTTTCTTAATATCATTTGTGTATATGATTAATCTTCGGAATCATTATTCTTAAGTTGACTCGTTCAAAGAAAAATATCTTGATTAATTCTCTACTTGTAAATTGACTCAGTTAAAAAAAATATCATCATAAATCAAAGATCCGTAGAGAATCACTAAGTATTTGAAAAGGTGTCATGTGTATGACATTCTTTTAAATTAAAATAATGTCTTAAGTGAGGGGCGAATATGTAACAATATGCCTTTAAAGTTACAACTGATATTGTTGTTATTGGTTTATTTAGATTCTACGGATCATACTCTAGAAGATATATTGTTAAATTTCTTGACTATAGGAACGCCTCCTTACTAGTGATTGGTTTATTGATTTCTGCGTTGATATTATCGATATACAATTCTCTTTTCGGGGAGAAGCGATATAGAGATGAGTTAGAAAAGATCATAAAAATAAATGACCTGGGTTGTTGTCGTACTTATGGAAATAAACTTAGAAATGACTTTGTAGTTGTTGTTTAACTCCCATCCTGTTACAAGTAACTAAAAAATATAAAGTGTAGAGTTCAAGTTCTTCATCTCAACGAGATCCATCATCCTATGAAGTTTCAAGTCAATAGCTTTTAAAGTGTAGAACAATTAAACCGGACAAAAGTAAAGTAAGAAAATTATCAAAGGACAATAACTCAAAAATCATGAAGAACAGAGTACCGGTTCTTGTGCCCTACACTTCTTCTCAATGAGATCTATAATTTCACGTCAATAGCTTTTATAATTTACAAGAGATGGCCCGGACAAGAAACAAGAGCTGTCGGTTCTTAAAAGACCTTGATAATGTAAAATTTTCTAAGCTCACAAAAGGGCTATTTAATTTTTTTTCCAAATCCATGTTATAGGCCTTGAAGAAAGTCCTATAATGCTCACAAATAAGTGTATAGAATTTCTACTTGTTTCAAAGAAAGATGTCAATGAAATACGAAGATATCTGAGGTGGTACACAACATTTAACATAAATTCCAAGTCAAACAAGAGCTGTCCGTAAGACAGCGCGCTCGACTTTTTTATTGCTTGCCAATAAAAAAAGTTTTTGCAGTAAAAGGCAATACAAGAATCTCTGTATTTTTAAAGTGAACTAGTTGTTTGATACCCTTGAATATTACAGCAATGTTTATATGACATAATTTATGGTAAAGTGAACAAGTGGATAGGAATGAATTTTTTTAGATTTTTTAAGTTTTTTAGTGCTTGCCTATAATACAAAACATTGACAGTTAAGGGCCATAATTCAAATAAAATCTTTGACAGAATTACCTTCTCCTGGACATGTTTGGGAATCATGATTGTAAACAAGTATTCCAACTTTCAAATTAATATCTCAAACAGTTCAGTCAAAAAGTGGACTGGTACTAAAAACTTAACCAAGATTCTAAGTCGATAAAAGGCCTTAATTTTTAAAACAAATCCTTGACAGAGTTACCTTCTCTTGCGTACAGATGGGGGTAATGATGTGAAATAGCATTAAAAGTTTCAAAGCAATATCTCAAAGGGTTAAGGCAATAAGTGGATTTTACCCATATTCAATGTATTTTCTAAGTCAAAAAGGGGCATAATTCTGTCAAAAACCTTGACAGAGTTATGTCCTCTTGTCTGTTGATGAAGGTCGTGATGGTAAACAAGTATGGTCAGTTTCAAAGCAATACCTCCAATGGTTTTGAAATAAAGTGAGGTGGTACAAAAAACTTAACCAAGCTCAATACACTTTCTAAGTCAAAAAAGGGCCATAATTCTGTCAAAAACCTTGACAGAGTTATGTACTCTTGTCTGTAGATGGAGGTTATGATGGTGTACAAGTATGGTAAGTTTCAAAGCCATACTTGTAATACTTCTGAAATAAAGTGGGGTGGTACGAAAAACTTAACCAAGGTGTGACGCCAACGCCGACGCGAGTAGGATAGCTCCCCTTTTCATAGAAAAGTCGAGCTAAAAAGGGGCATAATTCTGTCAAAATGCTTGGTAGTTACCTCCTCCTGTCTACAAGATGGGGGCATGATGGTGAATATGTGTGCAAAGTTTAAAAAGCCATATGTCAATGGACTTTGAAAATATTTGAGGTGTTACAAAAACTCTAACAGGAGTGATTACGCCGACGCTCCAGGGACATGGGTAGCTCTACTTATTCTTACCGAATAGAGCTAAAAAATCTTTGAAAATTAACAAAGGGCTACAACTCAAAAAAGTGCAGAGTATCGATTCACATCGGGTCATTGAAATTTACCTGGAATTTCCCCAGTCAATAAAAATCCTTATCAACAAAAACAAATCTGTATTTTCATTCTTTATTCAGTTTTGCTAGCAACCGTTAAGTAAGGTGGGATACTGACTGATGAAAATCACATTTTATACACAATGTATACAAATTTATCTAAAAAGCAAAATTCTCTTCTTTACCATCAACACATGTTATTGAAATATACAGCATTACAACATTTAACATATACCTTCATTTCAAAAATAGGGAAAAGTTTTGCAATAGAACTTAATACACCAAATTTTATCATTTCAATATATGATCCTTAAAGCTGCATGCCTCCAGATTCATGCAAATTTTCAAGAAATTTATGAAAAATGTAAAATATTGTGAAAGGATCAAATGAAGTAATTTACACATTGCAAGATACTTGTAAATGCAAGAAATTTACCCAACAGTCAAAATGTGCAAAATAGTCTTCATTGTGTTAGTCACAGTAATATATATGGTGATAAATACTGCAACATTAGTTAATAAACACACAACATTTAAATTATCACTTTAATCTTTTAACTTAACTTAAAACATTCTTCTCAAATTTGATTTTCTAAAATTATTTTGGCTAATCTGGAGGCATGCAGCTTTAACATTTAAATTTTCCAGATGTTTCCTTTATTACATCAATTTCCTTTTAAAAGTTTTTTATTTTTTATCAAATGATCATTATTGCAGTCATTTAGAATATAGACAAAGAATATATACATGCAACCACTTAACAGCTACCCCACGATTACTTCCTTCTTAATGTTGTATTACAATGATTATGTACAATGGCTAAAAACACTACATCTACTTACACTTTTAAAACCTAGAATGATATGAGCCGTGTCATGACAAAACCATCAGTGCGTTTGCGACCAGCATGAATCCAGACCAGCCTGCGCATCTGCGCAGTCTGATCAGGATCCATGCCGTTTGCTATCAGTTTCTCTACTTATAATAGGGTTGGTAAGCGAACAGCATGGATCCTGATCAGACTGCGCGGATGCGCAGGCTGATCTGGATCCATGCTGGTCGCAAAAGCATTACGTTGGGTTTTGTTATGACACGGCTCAATTATCATATCTCTTCTCTCTTCCTGACAAATTCTGTCTACATTTTAGTATTATACTTCGGTTTTCTCCTCTACATCTTCAAAAATTAATAGTTTTATTTTAATGTTTAAAGAATATGTGCTGGATATGAAACATAAATTTAATAAACACTCATTAGTTAACAGTTTTAATTTGATTTTATGATGAATTTTTACAAATATACGGATAACAAAAAAAATTTACTTCTTTAGATGCTTTAGTTTTACATCATATCAACACAGTATAGGAAAGATCTCAATTGCCCTTTGTGCATCATTTCAGGCACACACAGGCACCCCAAGTAGAACCACCTAATTTGACCATCGTAATCAATATAAAATTGGTAAAATTACAGAACACAATTTATGATTTTTGAGAACTTTCAAACATACTATCTTTCAGAACTATAGTCTATACCCTTTTTATATCAATCATTACTCCAAATATCAATTTTGGTATTTTCAAAATAAACCCTTGCCAAGCACTGAAAATCTAAAATCTTTCATAAACCATGAGCACTTTCAAATTGATTATTAACTGACAAAAAACAAAAACAAATAAAACCCAAACTTGGCAGCAAGTCTTTTCTCTCTAGCTTACTAGATACCTGGGTTGTGATAGTTAAATGAATAATAAATCTGTCACATGATTCAAAGCATTAGATGAATGAATGTTAACATGATGAATATAGAGAAAATTGCTTTGTTTACATGGGTCTAACATATATACAGTACTTTAGTCATATGTAATCAGCAAGTAATACTGAAGATTCAGTGCCAGTACTTATCACATTTTTTTACTCTCAATATATTTTTGGCAATAACTATCTTCTACATTTACCAACATCGTTAAAATTTAAAAATGTCAGAAGATCTTTAAAAAGCCCTGTATTAATAATGACTTCCGTCACTTTATATGCAGTCTTATTTGAGTATTAAATTCCTGAAAGCTCCTGTCCATGAATGTGCAGTTGCATTTAAGACATTACACTTAATAAATGCCAATAAACTTTCAGAAAAAGGTTGTTGCACCCCAAGACATGAACATTTCCTAACTGAATTAAGCGGGCAGACTATATATATACATGACAGGCCATTAATGGGGGAGTCAGACAATTTCAACAAAGCACTTAAAATTTCTTTTACACACATAAGACGAAATGAAACACACAAAAATTATTCAACTACTGCTTGCAGCATATATCAAAAGAAGGCTTCAGAGCAAGAAGTGTGTAATTTATACCTTACAGGTCTTCAAATAAACTCCCTTGTTTGCCTTTTGCCTCGATGCAAAGAAACCCCTGGTAACTAAAACATCTACAAACTGTAAAAACATAAAATTGTACACCTTAATGAAGCGCTATGGACCCTTTAGTATACACTTAAGTTCACGACTTCACGCTACATGTCACATAATCACTTATGGGTATTTATTTAATTTCAAAACCAAATCATTTGATTAACAAGAAGTTCAGACTTTCACCATTTTTCAGAAATCAGGATTTCCATTTTTTTTTACAGAATTAAAATATCAAATTATCAACAAAGCTTTCAAAGAAGCAACAAAATATTTTACACAAAAACCTTGTTTGAAATTATTATCATTAAAAAACAAAACAAAACTTTCCCAATAGATTTTGACATTTATAATGCATGAATTATTTTTTTAAGTTTTTTTTTTTCTTAAAAAAAAAAAAAAGAAAGAAGAAAAATGTAATTATATAACATGAACACAATGACAGTGGATGATTTGATATTGCAAGTTTGATGAGTTCAGTACATGGATGAAACATAAAGATTAAGAGCCATCTTTATGCTCGGATGAAACATAAAAAGTTAAGAGCCATCCTTATCATCGTCGTCGTTATGATTATGCCATGTCAGTCTTTCCTCGTAGAATGCAATCACTATCTGGGGACATTTCACGTTAGCTTGTCGTGCAGGTACAAGGTCCGCCTCATCGCTGTCTTTCCTGCAATATTTTACAAAACTATCAACAATCAGAGAAACTTCAACTTTGGTGTTTTCCCAAGTAGCAAAGTCAAAATGTGTTTTTTATTGTCCAATAGCAGTGATATTTTCCCCCTTATAATAAATTTTAAAGGTTTTGTTTATATGTTTGATTGGGTTTTATGTCACACAGACACAGTATAGGTCATATGGCGACTTTCCAGCTTAACTGGACTGGAGGAAGACCTCAGGTGCCCTTCCGTGCATTATTTCAGGCACAAGGGGCACCCGGAGTAGAACCACCGACATTCCATAAGCTAGCTGGATAGCTTCCTCAAATGAAAGAATCCAAAGTCCCTGTTGGGATTCGAACCCACAGCGGTGAGGGGCAAGTGGTTTGCAGTCAGTGACCTTAACCATTCAGGCCACGTACACCCCAAAAAATTTAAGTGGTACCAAATAACAGTCACATTCACAGTCAACAATCCTTCACAATTTTCATAATGGGTTCGATGGACCGGTTAGGTTAATGCTAGATTTTCAATCATATTTAAATTTGGTAGGCAGTTATATAAAATGTGCTAAAGGATTTTGTGCTAGCACTAACCAGTTTAATTCATAACAGTCAAACTTGTGTTTTTTTTCCCCCCACATAGAATATTAAACTCCAAGTTGCAAGGAAATATCATTGCCTCACTCAGTAATCAAACACTTGAAGCATTGGCCTATTTGTTTAAAGTGTCTGACTCAACAACTGAGTTTAAGTGACAACATTTCCTAGTATATTATAACCAAACTACTGCTGACTTCGAGGAAGCACTAAACAAAGCCTAAAAAAAAACCTTTTCATCATAATAAATTTAGATCGTCCCATTTAATAAAAACGTATCACTGGCCATGTCATTAAAAAACACGTAACGAACCATTTCATTAAAAACATGAGTTCTCCCGAGCTGTCAGTTGCACCAATTATTCTTTCTGGTTGTAAACCTCTGTCAAATCCCCTTGGCTTATTATCATCTTCCTGAAAACATGACCAAGCAATCTATATAAAACCCTGGACATTGTCAACACAATTCTAATTCTTAGCACAATAAGCCCATATGGTTTTATTGCACTAAGAAGAACTAGTACATGAATGACATGAAAATCAATCATAAATGCTATAAACATGATACGAATGCAGTGGTTTTTAGCACTTACTTTGGAAGAGGCCTTAGCTTCATAGCCTCCTGTTTTTGGGGAAAAAATATCTCCAAGGAGTAAAAAGCTTGTGCATTATGCTCAGATTTTTGGGAAACCTGCCCAATATGAAAGAAAATTTCCATTGGAAACAGGCCTTTTGTAGGCCTCTGTTACATAAGCCATGATAAGGTGAAAAATCACTGCAGTGTTATAGATGCATCAAATATACAGTAAAATATTAAATGTTCAATATGATACTTTAATCTTTGTACACAGAGCTAGATAAAGGACAAATTTTCCCTTTCTTCCTTTAATTTATAACAGAAAATTAAATGCCATGTTGTTTTTTTCCCCAATAACTATTTTCTGGTTTCATATTTTGTTTGTTTGTTTGATTGGGTTTTACGTCACACCAAAACAGTATAGGTCATTTGGCAACGTTCCAGCTTTACTGGACTGGAGGAAGACCTCAGGGTGCCCTTCCGTGCACTATTTTAGGCATTAACACCTGAGTAGAACCACTGACATTCCATAAGCTAGCTGGATAGTTTCCTCACATGAAAGAATCCAATGTCCAGGTCGGGATTCAAACCCACAGCGGTGAGGGGCAAGTGGTCTGAAGTCAATGACCTAAACCACTCGGCCACGGACGCCTGGTTTCATAAAGTAGCATTTTAAGTTGCCAAATGGCATTCTACTTAAGACATAGACATTTAAATAAACTTGAAGTGAAGTGGATTAGATAAGACTGTTTAATAAAGAAACTTGGTGTCAATTATAAACAGTTAGTGAAGTATGATGAAACTACCTACTTATACATCAGAAATCATGACACCAATTTACTCTGTAAATGTAATAATACTGAATCCAGTGAGATTGTGATTTGTGAATGAGTAAAATAAAAATTCTGTTACAATATGAGGGGCTCTTTAAGCTTGTATTGAAATATTAGGAGTCCAACACCAAAATTAACATTTATCATTTTATAAAAATCATTACTTTATCCATGAAAGGAACAGCATAGGAGATGTTTTGTACCAAAAAGAATGAAGGATGTATCTTATAGAATGCTATTGCAGTGTTTATTCTAGGATTCGAAAAAAAAAGGGGGGATTTTTGTCGAAAATGGAGAATTTATTACATTTGTTGATCTTTTTCCTTCTTTGTCTATGTAAAATTTTCCCCCTTCCTCTCAAAAAATAGGGGTGAATTCTCAAAAATATGGGTGAATCCCCCCATCGCCCCTCCTAGAATAGACACTGTATTGTAATGATCAAAGTTATGGTTGTCTGTGAAGAGACAGGCAAAATACCATCTCCAAATAACTGAACAAAAGCAATGTATGTCAACAGAATATACCAATCAATGTGAGGGTACGAAAAAAATAGCATCTTTTTCCCATGCAATTATTTTTTTTTTTAGCAAACTACCCATCTTTTTCCCATGCAATTATTTTTTTTTTAGCAAACTACCCATCTTTTTCCCATGCAATTATTTTTTTTTTTAGCAAACCACCCTTGTGCTGAAAACATGAATCTCGCTTAAAAAGCCCCTGCAATTTAGTAATTAACTGTGCATCAGTGAGTGTAATACTCACAACACCACCAGTTCTCACTTCTGCAACTTTCTTCTTCTTTCTCGATGACCCAGAGTCCACTTCTCCATTTGGCTTTCTTTTCTTTTCTGCCTCTTTCTTCTTTTTCTCTGTTCTACTCGTTTCATATTCTGCGATCAAGTCTGGACAGTCAAGGTTGGCTTCTGGTTCCCACGTATTTTCAGAACTGAAAATGAAGAAGAGGTGCATTCAGGTTATACATTGAAACCAATCCAACAGGCAAGATTACCAAACGATCATCAAAACAAGATTATCAAAACATATCTTATGATCTTCATATATGAAGTATTTTCTTAACACTGTTTTATTAATGTTCAGCTATCTTAGTTCCAAAAACTTTCTCTCACAGAAAACCTCGAGTTGTTTCCAAAGAATTTATATGAAGTAAAATAACTTTAGGAGTTATTTATATTGCCACTGGAATTACCTTTCTTACAAGATTCTCTAGGTATATAAGACATACATATATTCTTAATTATCTTTTGAAATTCTATACTTAGTGTTTTTTGTGTGGGTGCATAGAATAGATGCCATATATAAGCCTCTTCCACAGTGTCTATTCTACTCATATTTTTCAGAATTCCCTCTTATTTTTTCAGAGGCAGGGGGGAAAAAAGGATCAAAATGTAATAAAAACACACTTTTCAATAAAAATCCCCCTTGTTTTTCCAATCCTAGAATAGACACTGCTCCCAATTCACAATACTGTTGAGCAGCCCTATTTTTCAATATTTTGAAAATCCCAAAAATTGTGAGGATTTTGTCCAACCCACTAAATGTATTTTGTTTAATATCGCAGGGCTCACGCTGTCGGTCGCCATTTGCGATTATTTTATAAGATTGGCGATTATTTTTGCATTTTGGCTACAAAATCTGGCGATTATTTTTTACTTCCAACAGTGTTTATATAAGGTGTAAAAATCGATAATGAATGCAGTAGACCCAATTAACACCAGCGGGGTGCATTTAATTGAGTGTCAACTTTTAACCGGTCGCGTGCTGCTAACTATATTGCCCGAGGTGAAAAAATACATGCGAGATGTATAATTGTATAAGTACTTTAAAGATATTGTCCAGCATTTATAATAGCCATCAAATATCCGTCAATTAGCCACAAAAATCGTTTTAAAATTGATAAACTGGATATTGACTTACCCAAAATTTACCGTGAATTGCAGTAATTGCAAATTTTGATTTTTTTTGTTTTAAGCTACTTGACTAAATCGCCAGTGGAAAACAATGGTAAAATATTTAAAAAGTATTAACTTCCAAACAACTATTTGCACAACAACCAAAATTGTGAATATTTCTTCAGAAAACAGGAAAAATCCGATTGTCACATATTTTCGCGACACCGATAATTTTGATATTTATTTAAAGGTGAAATAAGCTATGTTCTGTTTAAAAATCTTTACTACTATGGCAGAAAATTTGTATTACATTGGTGATGATGATATTTTTCAGTAAATTATTCAGAAAAAAGGCTGCATTCTGTGAATGAGTTTGCAAACTTGTGTTATTTCTATAGGCTAATATGACCTAGATCTACTCCAGTTCTGTGTGAAATGTGGAAATTGACAGTGGTTATAGCTGACAAAATTTGATTAGAACAAAGATAACAGCATTATGTAAAGTTATAATGAATCTTTAATATTATTGTTATTATTATACTAATTATAACGTTTTTATTCTGTTCTATAATAACAATTAAAGTTGTGGTTCTATTTAAAAAAAGGTAGTTATCAATATACACAAATGTATCAGTTTATTTGAGAATCCTTATAAAACTAAAAAATTTTATATAATTATGTAATGTTTATTTAATCAACTGCTTATGTTGTTAATCGCTAATTCGTGAATAGTCCGCTGAACTTTTGCCTATTATTTTTTTAAGTTGAAATTATTGGCTATTATTTTATTTGAGCCAGTGTGAGCCCTGTATCCCCAATTTTCAATTCCAAATCCCCTGTTCAGAAATTCACTGGCAATTCTATGCCTTACAAACATTTACTATTTACTTACTCAGGATATCCCTTCCATTTAAGAAGATATTCTTTACGACCATTTTTGACTCGTACATCAACCACTTTCTCAACAGTGAACTCTTCCTCCGCCTCCTCTTCCTCGTCTATGGGATCATCTTCTGCGTGTTTTGACGACATATTTATCTGCAAATTACAGTGTACAGTAACTAATATGATCACAATCCAAATTATTTATAAGCATTACAGAATTTCAATGGGAAGAGTAAATTTTATATAGTCCCTTTAAGGGCTGATTACTTCTTATAAGTGTCCTGAGCTCTAACTGTACATGGTCAAATAAAAACAAAAATCAAACCCATTTCTTGTAAGGTTGTCATAGATAAAAAAAATTTTGAATCAATATATTGAAAGCAACAAGTTGAATATACAAATCAAATAGAGTACGGTTGAAACCATTAACTAGAAATGTGTCATCATGCCACGGATGCCCCCGCATGCAGCCAAAATTTCAGATGTTATTATATTTAGTTCCAAATTTGTTTGCACAAATTATTGTTTTCATTTTAAGTTCAAAGCCCTTAAAACTTTTCAATGTTAACACAAACCATTTTCATACAATGTTCAAAGCACTGAAATTATTCAGTCTTAACCTTTTGAAAATAGCATATTTCATATTTGTAGCCAAAATAATGGCTACATACATTTCCACAAAAGTATGAGTGCTGAATCTGAATGTTCAAAATTTTTTTCCAATATTCAAGAAAGATAAGTTTGTCCAAAATCATTGAACCACGACCAAATTCAAACTTAAACTGCCTATTCCTAAGATGTATCTATATTATTTTCAAAGTGAAAGGGACATAACTCTGCCAAAAAATCATCGAACCATGACCAAATTCCAACTTGACCTGCCCATTCATTTGACATATCCATATGTCAAATTTGAGTTGAATATGTAACACTGTTGGGTAGATAATGAACAGAAACTGTAAATTTCATATTTTTTTCAAAGTGAAAAGGGCATTACTCTGCCAAAAATTATTGAACCATCACCAAATTCGAACTTGACCTTGGCATTCCAAAAAAATATCCATATGTCAAATTTGAGTTGAATGTGTTGTACTGTTGGGGAGATAACAAACAGAAACTGAAAATTTCATATTATTTTCAAAGTAAAAGGAGCATTACTCTGCCAAAATCATCGAACCATGACCAAATTCAAACTTGACCTGTATTTTCTCATGACATATCCATATGTCAAATTTGAGTTGAATGTGTTGTACCGTTGGGGAGATAATGAACGGAAACTGAAAATTTCATATTATTTTCAAAGTAAAAGGGGCATAACTCTGCCAAAAATCATCGAATCATGACCAAATTCGAACTTGACCTGTATTTTCTCATGACATATCCATATGTCAAATTTGAGTTGAATGTGTTGTACCGTTGGGGAGATAATGAACGGAAACTGAAAATTTCATATTATTTTCAAAGTAAAAGGGGCATAACTCTGCCAAAAATCATCGAACCATGACCAAATTCGAACTTGACCTGTATTTTCTCATGACATATCCATATGTCAAATTTGAGTTGAATGTGTTGTACCGTTGGGGAGATAATGAACGGAAACTGAAAATTTCATATTATTTTCAAAGTAAAAGGGGCATAACTCTGCCAAAAATCATCGAACCATGACCAAATTCGAACTTGACCTGTATTTTCTCATGACATATCCATATGTCAAATTTGAGTTGAATATGTGCAACGGTTACTAAGATAATGAACGGAAACTGATGATGACGGAATGACAGAATGACGGAATGACGGAATGACGGAAGGACGGAAGGACGGAACAGGGTAACACTATATGCCCCGGCCATTACATGGCGGGGGCATAAAAAAGTGACATGTTATATGATCATACACATGTTTAATGTTAAAATTAGGCATTAAAACGGTTTCTTAAAAGTTGAATAATTTTTCCCAATTCATGCCCAAAATAGCTGAAAAGGGCCCTGTGCATGCTTGTTTTAGTCATCACAAATACAACATACTAAAAGGAAGTATGTTTTCTTATTACTCACTGACCTCTTTAAAAAAAAGATTGAGGGTTTAAGCATGCCAAGAAAGAGTAAGAAATGCTACTCTACCTTCTGACAAAATATAGACAAGATATAAAGACAGGAAGAACTTATCAGTATCAATTTTCATAACTATAAATTCATCTTGAATTAATTGATTATTGATACATCAATATCCTGATATTCAGTGACAGTTTTGTTTTGTTATGTTCATGTCAAATAAAGCATTAATATTTCCGCTTTTACATTCAAATAATTTGTTTGTTTTGGGTTTTGTTTTAGGAACTAAAATGGCAGATATATGCAATCAGTTAAAATTCTTGAATATTAGAAGAAATATTTTTTCTCTAGAATTTTAAACAAAATGGTGTTAATATTCAGTCAATGTAAGATCCTTATTATTATACAATAAAACTTTAACAATGTTCTAAATATTAAAATACAAGGAAGTTATTCTCCTGTTGCCTGTGTTGACAGGTATTTATTAGACAAAAGCTATCCAAATTAAGTTACCCATGTTAGAGTGCAGGACAAGTGGTTATATTGCAGGCATGAGTATTTGCAGCAGAACAATTTTGTAGCCCTGTTATGAATCTTTATATAATATATTATGTGAAAATATGTAAATCCAGTAAATCTTATTGTCTGTCTTCTCCAATTAACCATCTGTAAAGTATGTCAGCAAGGTGTGAACAATTCTACAGGTATTTAGAAAATTTTATTGCAAGCAAATGTGTGAAATTCCTGCATGAATAGGTTGTTAAATACTTTGCCATGGGCAAATTACCTAATATACCAGTCCTAGTCAGTCAATATTCTTGAATATCTCTCAGAGGTACAAGATAGATAAGATCAATACAGTAAACAGGATTTGGCTTATTAGTAAACAGCAGGGGTCAGTATTGACACTTGTAAGGCTATCTGATTTGTATAATGGGACATAGCCCCCCTAGTATAAATGGAAGATGGACTCGAAACCCTACACCTCAAAATTTTAGTGGACAAAACCCCACACCTTCAATTTTACAGAGACTGAGAGTGGACAGAACCCCACCACCTTTAATTATTGGGCAAGATTTGATGGAAGCTCTTGGAAACGAGCAATTTGAGATGATCAAACTACCCTTTTTCAGCACAAAATCAATCTATACATGATAAAACTAGAAATGTGTCATCATGCCACGGATGCCCCCGCATGCAGCCAAAATTTCAAATGTTATAATATTTAGTTCCAAATTTGTTTGCACAAATTATTTTTTTCATTCTAAGTTCAAAGCCCTTAAAACTTTTCAATGTTAACACAAACCATTTTTATACAATGTTCAAGGCACTGAAATTATTCAGTCTTAACCTTTTAAAAATAGCATATTGCATATTTGTAGCCAACATAATGGCTATATACATTTCCACAAAAAAGTGCTGAAACTGAAAGTTCAAAATTTTTCCAACATTCAGGAAAGATAAGTTTGTCTAAAATCATTGAACCACCACCAAATTCAAACTTAAACTGCTTATTCCTAAGATGTATCTATATTATTTTCAAAGTGAAAGGGACATAACTCTGCCAAAAAATCATCGAACCATGACCAAATTCCAACTTGACCTGCGCATTCCTTTGACATATCCATATGTCAATTTTGAGTTGAATATGTAATATGAATATGGGTTGATAATGAACAGAAACTGTAAATTTCATATCATTTTCAAAGTGAAAGGGGCATTACTCTGCCAAAAATCATTGAACCATGACCAGATTCGAACTTGGTCTGCGCATTCCAAAAACATATCCATATGTCAAATTTGAGTTGAATGTGTAATATTGTTGGGGACATAATAAACGGAAACTGAAAATTTCATATTATTTTTAAAGTGAAAGGGGCATAACTCTGCCAAAAATCATCGAACCATGACCAAATTTGAAATTGACCTGCGCATTCCTTTGACGTATCAATATGTCAAATTTGAGTTGAATGTTTAATACTTTTGGGGAGATAATAAACGGAAACTGAAAATTTCATATTATTTTCAAAGTAAAAGGGGCATAACTCTGCCAAAAATCATCGAACCATGACCAAATTTGAACTTGACCTGCGCATTCCTTTGACGTATCGATATGTCAAGTTTGAGCTAAATGTGTTGTAAGATTGGGGAGATAATGAATGGAAACTGAAAATTTCATATTATTTTCAAAGTGAAAGGGGCATAACTCTGCCAAAAATCATTGAACCATGACCAAATTTGAACTTGACCTGCGCATTCCTTTGACTTATCCATATGTCAAGTTTGAGTTGAATGTGCTGTACCATTGGGGAGTTAATGAATGGAAACTGAAAATTTCATATTATTTTCAAAGTAAAAGGGGCATAACTCTGCCAAAAATCATCGAACCATGACCAATTTCGAACTTGACCTGTATTTTCTCATGACATATCCATATGTCAATTTTGAATTGAATGTTTTGAACCGTTTGGGAGATAATGAACGGAAACTGAAAATTTCATATTATTTTCGTAATAAAAGGGGCATAACTCTGCCAAAAATCATCGAACCATGACCAATTTCGAACTTGACCTGTATTTTCTCATGACATATCCATATGTCAAATTTGAGTTCAATATGTGCAAGGGTTATTAAGATAATGAACGGAAACTGATGATGACGGAAGGACGGAATGATGGAACAGGGTAACACTATATGCCCCTGCCATTATATGGCGGGGGCATAAAAATGCTTCAGTTTAAATCCTATTCTATGACTTTATTGATAACCCAGGTATTTCTGGTTTCAGCGGGCAGCATGAAATACCCAAATATTGCCCAAAATATAAAAAAAACAAGCAATTATCATAGTATTGCAAGCAATCCATAAGTCCCCTACCGGTTAGAACCCCAGCAACATTCTGAAGGGCCATTAATTGGCAATTCATTTATGGACTGAAGGACACTCTACAGTTATTTTTTTAAACATCCCTGTTATCAAAATATAACATTTTTAAAAGCAAAATTTTTAAAAAGGAGATAACTCTTGAAATAAAGATGCAAGATGTCATACATGATGTGAGTGTAACAAAGAACAATTTTAAAAGAACAAATAAGAAAAATTAAAAGTTTAAGGAGGAGATAATTCTGGAAATATGGATGCTAGATTTATAAACCTTGTCATATTATTATGATGTGGGAGTTTGAAGAAAATCCTATCATGATTGAAGAAGTTGGAGTAAAAATTACCAATTTCTCGAAAAAAAGTCTAAGTTCAAAAGGGGCATAATTCTGGAAATAGTCTTGCTAGAGTATTGAACTTTCTCACAAATGTTGAGTGATAATAAGAAACATATATATGAAGTTTGAAGTAGATACATTCAGAAAAAAAGAAGTTATTAAAAAAACAATATTTTTTTCATGAAAATTTTAAGTTCAAGGGAGGTAATTCTGATAAATTTTGTGCTAGAGTTGTAAACTTTGTCACATATGATGTGGTTGATGACTAGCAACTTATATTTAAAGTTAGAAGAGAATACCTTAAGAAATAAAGAACTTATAGTGAAAAAACTTATAAAAAAGGAATCAGAAATCTTGAAATTCAGTCCATTTGTTGCCATAGCAACCAGAATTTTCAATATAGGAAGATAAGAAAAGGATGTGCATAATTTCCAGACTGCCATCTACCCATATGTCAAGTTTCATAAAAATATTTAAATATTTTCAGTACTTTTTGCGTTATCGCGGGATCCAGGTTATGTGTAAAATTTGCCATATTTTCAGTCTATTTATTGCCATAGCAACCAGAATTTTCAACATAGGAAGAAAAGAAAAAGACGTGCATAATCTCCATACTGCCATCTATCCATATATCAAGTTTCATAAAAATATTTTCAGTACTTTTTGCGTTATCGCGGAATCCAGTTTTGTGGATGGACGGACGGAGGGTAAACCTAAAGTCCCCTCCGGTAAACCGGTAGGGGTCTGAAAATTAATATTTGATACCAAAAAATTTAATGTTGTTTTTATTAAGAATACAATATATACTTTCACTAAGATATAACCAATCATACCCAAATATACATTTTCCTATCATTGTGTTTTGACCAAAAATATAGATATAAGATATAAATGTAAAATGGCCAAATATACTCCATTAAAAGGTGTTAAATTAAAAAAAAATATGATGGACACTTGTATGAAATTACAACAAAATTATACCCTAACAATTTAAATGTAGACAACAAATATTATCATATCTTTAACTTAGATTGCAAGTAGAGGTGCAACGATACCTTTCGATGCATCGAAAACCGGTTTTATGAGCGCCGATTCGATTCCCGATACCAACTGTAACATTTTCGATTCGATTCCCCACCCACAAATAAACATGGAAAAAAGTGAGAGTTTTAGTCTTTCCCTTCGCGCTTCATCACGTTACATACGATTGGCCAGTTAAAACTCGGTCATCCAATCAGTGGGAGCGTAATGTTTTATTTTCGGCAAACAAGTCAAAATGGCTACCAACATCAATGTTGATAAAATAAAATTAAAAAATCCTCCAAAAAATTAAAATCAAAAGTTTGGGAACATTTTGGGTTTCAGGAAGGCCAGGACACGGATAAAGCTACTTGCAAAATATGCTTTACGGACGTGTCATATCCAAAGTCCTGCAGTACGTCATATGAAACGAAAACACGATCATGGATGTGGACTTGTTTTGTAAGCTCAATACGTGTCCTGGCCTTCCCGAAATAAGTTTGATTTGTACTACAGTAAGTAGGCATATTTGGAATTGATGATTATTTCTTTAGTCAAGTGTGAAAAAAGTGATAATTTCATGAATTTCATTTTTTCTGTATTGTTTACTAGACTAAGAAGTATTGTGTGACAACACTGGCATTAGGATTGATTATTCATTTTACATATTATGGGAATTAATTTATAGACAGAATATCTGAATATTCATTTTACATATTATGGGAATTATAAACAGAATATCTCAATATCAGTTCTGACAACCTTGTGAAACTTTGTTCATTATTATTTACTTTACAATTTACATACTTTGTTAAATTTCCAGTCAGTAGTCAGCAGAAGGTATCTGTGATAGTCATGTTACTGAGATTAATGATTATTTGCCTGATTAAAATTATTTTCCAAATAGACAAAAGCTTTTTATTCTCATAAACACAATTATTAAGTCAAATAAGTTTATATAATAGTTATATTACAACAGAAAAGCAAAGCACTAGGTTGAAGGCCACTCACTTTTGGAACAGACAAGCAGAATTATATACCAAAGTTAAATTAGTAATCAAAAAAGTATCGAATCGAAAAAAATCGAATCGAAGTGTCTAAAATCGAAATCGAATCGAATCGAACATTTGGTGTATCGTTGCAGCCCTAATTGCAAGTATCTATATATATATTAATTAATGAATCTAGATCAGCAACTGTCACAAGTTTATTTTCTTACAAAATCTCAATGAATGAATGTTACAGCCGGCTTAGTCAAGTTATTTTATAAAAAATAATTTATTTTCTCATTATAAAAATATATATATTAAGCAAACAAAGATGAATATTACTATATTTGCCTTTTATTTGGGTGTATCTATTTGGGTATAGTTGGGTACTTCGTGCAGGTTGATTTGTGCCGCCGGTTTCCGTAGCCAAATATCCCCATAAATACCCCTTTGAATTAATTTCATTCAACGACGGCCATCTCCAATTATTTGCAACTTTTGCTTTGTTTCTCTAGGTCTTTGGAATTTTGGCTCGCGGGCAGAAACTTCATGATGAGAATTATTTTTGTTTTGTTTATTACCGAAGTTCAAACTTGCCGGTCACTTGTTTTCTATAATCTGATTTGACAATCACAACTTGTCCGAAAATCAGAAGCGTTGATTCATACCAAGGTGCGTGATGCACACATTCGCTTTGCGAACGTTCATAATGCACAAAATGACTTTTTTAATTTAACGAAACGGAAAAAAACATCACCTGTTTATTAAATCAAATGGGCAAGAGTTGTTTCAGGTCTCACTGGAGGAAAGAGGCCACCTATACCCCCTAGAAATCTCAACAGATTTACGCGATTACAAAAATGATCCTGGAGACTGGCTGAAATCTGGAACTTCTGGACTATTCCGGAAAACTTTCACCCATGTATTTATATGACTAGTGTGCGTCAGTGCAAGAAAATTTAAAAGGGAAATGTACAGGAGAAAAAAAATAATACAAAAATGTATAAAATTTGTGAGAAAAAAGTTGATTGTGTTAATAAAAAAGACAAGATGTAAATTTAAAGTTTTTAAATTACAACATAATGCTTAACTGAACTGTATTAAAGGTTTATGAATAATAAAAAATAGAAATGACACCATAATTTGACACTTATTTTCTTTATTATTTAACATGGCACGGTGACAACAGTATTAAGTAGGCTTTAAAATACCGGTATAGTACGAATCGATTCATGCACGAATCCTCAAGATTACTCTTTACTATATTACAGATTTAATGCATAACCACATTAAATCCCCAAATATTAAACATCAAAGGGATTAAAATGTTTCACACAACTTTGTCTATAAAATCATACACCTAGGTAAAACAATTGCTCATCTAAAGTTATTTACCAGTTTTGTTCTGTATCTTTCTTTGACTAACCGGTGCGAATAAAAGAACTTTGTTGCGCATGTATATTAATATCCGGGCGCTTTGTATTATAATTGACGCGGGAAATAGTTCGGGAATTTCCGTAACAATAAATTATTAATTACAAATGTATGTTTAATTCTTTTGAATCAGTCAAATTTTTTAATTTGATGTATTTCCTTGTTTACCTGCGTTGAATAGTTATTGTACGTTCAGTTGCAAAAAAAAAATAATTGAAATACGAACATTAATTTATTCATCACGTGACCAAGCCCTCTTCAGCAAGAACTAGAACATCAAGAACAATGGGAGACTACGGAGTAAGTTTTTACTAAAAATTATCTGTATTTAAGCTTTAAGAAATTAAATAATATTTACTAAACGAATCAATAGATTGACTTTAAGTATTTCTTCAACTTTTTATTGTTTGATAGGTACTAAAAGTTGAATAATTTGGATGAAAATTATTTGCGGCATGGCACGCCGGGTTCTTTGCATGCCGCCATGATGAATTCATTATTCAAATATTAGTTTTCTTTATTTTATGTATGTTGTACATTTTCTGTAAGTTATACAAATACTTTTACCATATATATTTATGTTTCATATGTTAATTCTGCATTTATGTATATATTTGCATATTTATTAATATTTTTTTCTCAAGTCTATAAATTCCTTTGTCCCGCGTGGTCGGTAGTTTGGAGTTCTATTGAGTTTGATACTCAGTGAGAGGCGAATTTTATTTTATAATAATAGACTAAGAGGAGTAAAATAGATTAAGAGGAGTAATGTATATAATTATGATACTCTTCTTTGATTCCATTATGATAAGGTGTAAGTTTGGTCTTGTCTATGAAAAGATGAAAAAAAAATACATCAAAATTTTTAGGATACTGGATTCATATTCAATCAGGATGATTAGATGGCTTAAACTACCAACTCATGAAATGAATATTTATTTTTGTCTATAATTAGATCTATATACAGGGGAATGCTTGATTTTTTCATTTAAATGATGGCTAAACGGCCAAAAACCTTCTTTGTAGAGGTCGAATTTAGGCTGCTTCCCCAACCAAACTAGCCTCTTTTTTTCCCCAGTTTGGTTTTCAAAATTACCCAGTCTTTTGAAATTTCCCGTAGAATTTAGAACAGAATTAAATGATGGTGTTAACTGCCTCCGTGATAGAGGGGTTCGAGTCGTTGACTTGTAATCTAGTTACCTCTCCGGTGTGGGTTCCATCCCCGGGAGATGCTTTTGTTGTTTAGCACGGAGGAAGGTCGGGGCCTTTTTACCCTTCTTTGCTGTAGCCGGTATTCGGCTACTTCCCCAAGCCAACATACTACCTTTTTTCCCCAAAAAACAGTCTAAAATTCCCCTACTTGCGAAGATTTTCCCTTTCAGATCAAAGAAAAAAACTTGTAAACAAACTTTCTTGCATAAAAAAAGATCATTGTTTTTGTCCAATGAAAGCTAATTATTCAATTACCCGCTAGAGGGATACCTTGATTCAATACAATATTGATGTTTACTCACAGCCTCGGGCTGAAAGCAACATGGGAAACCCCGCTGCACACGTGATTTTTTTACGACAATACGGCGACCGATTTACGATGTCGCAAATGTAAACAATGTCACAGAACCAGACGATTGAGTGACATTTGTAATTGTTTATGAAAAATTGGACAAATTGTTGACCTTCCTGTAAGTCCAAGAGAATCCAATACATGTATCCACTCGCAAGTTCATGTGTCCGAGTAGCACAACATGCCCAAGTGTGGGAAATAGCGAGTCTAGCACAACAGTTCCAGTAATAGTGATACGGTGGGAACTGATAATAATGTTCCCTCTGAATCAAATCAAGAACCCTCACATGTCCTACGTAAATTTTCTATAATTAGGAAAGATGAGTCAATGTATTCTTGGGCAAATATAAAGTGGCAATAAATAGATCTGTAAAAAAATCCCTTTAATAATTACTTATGTTGGGCAGAAAGCTCCTGAAATAAGTGTGTTTTGAGGAAAATAAGCAAATATATTATGATATTTCCCCCAAATGTGTGATTAAAATAAGTCTTTATTTATAGTAATAATGGTTAACCCTTTACCACATATACGCGAAACAACGCACTTTCGACCCCCCCCCCCCCCCCCTTTTTAAGGCCTCAAATAGTGAAAAAATGTCCTATTTGGACCCCAAACATAAGTTTTTCGTTTGAGAAATGTTGCTTAAAAAAATTGAGCACTTTTTCGGCGTCGCCCCCATCCAAAGATACATCAGGGGGTTGCCAGAAGGGGGATGTGCCCCCTTCTGTTAGGGGGGTTTGAAGGGGGGCGGAGTCCCCCTCATCGCCAAGAAAATTTTGGACTTGTGAGAGGGTAAAAATGACCCCAGGTCGATCATAATGTAACGTTTAACCAACTCTGAAAAGCCTTTGACTCTATCTCAATCCCTTGAACAGTTGCAGCACTTTGAAATAAATTTTGATGGAAAAAATCGAGGCAAAATAGTGATTTTTGGCAATTTTGAGATGTCCCCTCGTTGCCATGGTAACAGGAAATTAAAGACTGAGCATGTAGTTACAAAGGCAATGGTCCAGTCAACATTTGTGCCAAGTTTGATTAGTATTGAAGCATTTTTCATAGTTTCATAGCAGTTTGAACTTGTAACAGGAGGCTTTTCAGTGAAAACGGCCATTTTTCACAATATGCTCATGGGGGAAAGGGTTAAACTGCCAGTGGAAAATATGATTTTTTCTCCAAAAGTATGAAAACCGCACATTTTTTCCCCACAAAAAGGGCTAGGGCGCCTTCCCCAAAACTAATGAAAAGGCCCTGAAGGTAGTCTAGTACTGGTGTAACTCTCCAGGATCGATGGTTAAAAAACTACCTGCCTATATGACTGAAATACTGTTAGGAAAGGCGTAAAATGAAAAACAAAATGATAGTGTTGAATTAAGGTCTTTTACTGCCTTATAAGTATTTCCCAGTGCTTTTTGCTTTTCTATTTTGAAGAACTTGTTGAAAGTTTCTGTTAAATTTGAGACCCCTTTCCCAAAGTTTGCCAATATCATGCATATTTTCCCCAAGAAAAAGGCTCGGGGGGGCCCTTCCCCAAAAATGGTGTTTTTGCCCTGATTAAACTAACTCCTAAAATGAAGTCTATTTTTTTCTACAATTATATGCAGGGGAATGATTGACTTTTTTATTTTTCATAAATGTTTCCCTTTCTGCAACCCATGTCAATTTGGATTATTTTAATTTAAAAATAGCTTAAATTGCAGGTGCCAAAACATGATTATAACAGTGTTTTTTTTCTATATATAACTATTACCCTAAAACGGTACTGTTCCCAATAGAAAATAGACATTAAAATTTCCAAGTTTTCATTCCAAAAATGCCTGTCCAAAATTCCCTCAAGGCCAAGTGATTTCTCTGCAATCATTTGAATCCAACATATTCATATAAATCACCACTTAATAGTTCTACCTGAACAGTGGAAGCTGTTGGCTATCTTTATTCATGCTGACTTATCTTAATTGTAGCTAAAAAAAATCCCAATTTAAGTCAAAATATCGCATATTTTTCCCAATCAGCCTGGTACCTGCACCATTCCCAAAGTAAAGTAGAGAGAAAAAACAGTGTATAAATTAACAATAAAGTATTTACAGAAATGCATTTATCAAAATTTTTATTCACCTATCGGTGTATGGTTAAATACATCAATTTGTGTATTATGTACCAATTTGTGCATCATGAACTAATCTGGCGATATACTAGACCTGATAACTGTAGGTTAAAAATGAAAAAGATTACTGATTACATGATTAAACATTTAACTATAATGTAAAGTTCAGAACAATAGAAAGACTTCCATTTCTCCTCTTGTAAATCTTTAAACTTGAACAATTAAAATTGAACATTTTGTCAGGTTCCCACAATTTTTTCTGAAATTTTCCAGTAAGACTATCATGTGGTAAGAGCAACAGATATGCTTAGATTTTATTCAAAAACATTAAAAAAAATTATTCACAAGTAGCCAGTTCTGTTAACATTAGACTATGATTTTCTTTAATAGGGAGGTTATCAACAGCGTAGTTTTGGAGGTGGTAGAGGCGGTGGCCGTGGTGGTGGTGGAGGATTTGGTGGTGGTGGCAGAGGAAGAGGTGGCGGTGGCCGAGGGGGTGGTGGTGGAGGAGGAGGAAATAGAGGAAGCAGAGATGCCGATTATTACACAGACCCAAATGCAGAGAACTTTTGCAAACTTTTCTTGGGTGGTCTTGCACCTGAAACAACAGAAGATTCTATTAAAGACCATTTTGGATCATATGGAACAATTGTAGACTGTGTTGTTATGAGAGACCAGGAAAAGAAGTAAGTTTAATAAAAAAAATCGTTGGACCTAATCAAAATTTATCGGACATATCAGTCGGACCAACATATTTCGGGAAGTCTGTTCATAATAAATTCCTACGAGAAACTTGTATGTTCACTTTTGGACAGTGACTTTTTGGTGTTTGTGGCATTTTCAGAACATTTCTAATCGGGATTTTTTAAATTAAACTTTTATTATGCCACCGCAGCATCTGCGATGCGGTGGCATATAGCGATTCACCTGTGTGTGTGTGTGTGTGTGTGTTCGTTTGTTTGTTTGTGTGTGTGTGTGTTATATAGATTATATAGTGAACTTAAAAAATCTTCTTGTGAAAAACCACTAGTCCAATTTCAACCAAACTTGGCAGGATTGATCCTTGGGTGAAGGGCTTCCAAAGTTGTTCAAAGAATTTAATTCCATGCAGAATTCTGGTTGCCATGGCAACCAAAAGGAATTATAAGAATGAATTTAAAAAATCTTCTTGTAAAGACCCAAAAGGCCTAGAGCTTAATATTTTGCATAAGGCATTGTCTGGTAGACCTCTACCAAGATTGTTCAAATTATAGCCCTGGGGTCAAAATCGGCCCCCACCCCCGGGGGTCATTGATTTTCACTATATGTACATATAGTAAAAACTTAAAATACCTTTTTGTAAAGACCCATAGGCCTAGAGCTTAGATATTTTGCATAAGACATTGTCTGGTAGACCTCTACCAATATTGTTCAAATTATAGCCCTGGGGTCAAAATCAGCCCTGCCCCGGGGGTCATGGATTTTCACTATATGTACATATAGTAAAAATTTAAAATACCTTCTTGTAAAGGCCCAAATGGCCTAGAGCTTAGATATTTTGCATAAGGCATTGTCTGATAGACCTCTACCCAGATTGTTCAAATTATAGCCCTGGGGTCAAAATTGCCCCCGCCTCGGGGTCATTGATTTTCAATATATACATTTAGTAAAAAATCAAAAAAATCTTATTGTCTGAAGGTACAAGGCTTAGAGCTTTAATATTTGTTAAATGAATATATCATATAAAGGTACTCTACCAAAGTTGTTCAAATTTTGCCTCTAGTGTCAAAATTAAAAGTGAACTTTGATATCAGCTGACCTAGATTTTGACAAAGTGTATTACATGTTGTCCTTTGATGCAGTCATGAAATTTTAGGCTGTGTGAAATATGACCTTCAACACCAAATTCACTAGACTCAAGTGCATTGATATATTCCTACTCTGATCTTTTATTGAGTTAACAATAGATTTAACCACTAATCTAATAATAAGAATTAGATATGCATTATGACAATTTTCAATTGTATAGAAACAAAAAAATCTGTTCCTACACTACTATTTAGTGTTGTTTTATTGCGGTGGCATAGCATTTTTCTCAAATGCAATCTTGTTTTTAATGTTACTCTTCTGTTAATACATGGTGTAATTTTTAAAAAACATGCTTATTGTGTTGATGTTGAAATTTAAATTTACAGGAGATCAAGGGGGTTTGGCTTTGTCACATTTAGTGAATCCTCCTGTGTAACAGATGTACAGGCAAACAGACCACACAAAATAGATGGCAAACAAATAGAAACAAAAAGAGCTACTCCTAAACATGTAAGTCAAACTTGCTCGTCTTTCTCGTTGTTTTCTTTTAATTTTTTGAGTGTACCAAAAAAATAAACCTTGAGGTTATTGAAGATCCAGGCTTTGATTCTTCATGAAGTTGTTAAGTAATTTCACTTGGGTACAATATTTTCAGGCATTTGACTGCTCGGGTTTTTTATTTCACCTTTTGAAAACACCCTTATTGAATATTTTATATAAAATCTAAAAGAACAAGATTTTGTTGCTAAATTCAGGGTGTCTTGCACCCATGGGCTCTATTTATTAAACTTTCATGATGTATAAATAATTGTTAATTGCAAAGTTAGTGATAAGAATGTTAATAATTAAAAATTAGTAAATCTAAACCATATTTTATTTCAGCAACAGGCGGAGGGTCAAGATGCTAAAGTATCAACTAAAAAATTATTTGTTGGTGGAATTAAAGACGATATGACTGAAGATATGTTACGTGAAGAATTCTCAAAATATGGAAATGTACAGTCCGTTAAAGTAATACAGGGAAAAGGGTTTTGCTTTATCGAGTTTGATGACCATGATGCTGTAGACTGGTGTAATTGTAAGTTCACTTTTTTTCAAGGTCTATTGTGGGGGAGACGAACAAACTAAAATGTTTTTGATGCCTCTATTTTCTGGTTTTAATTTTTTTGTAGTCTAAAGCCTTGGAAGTTGCTTCACAATCTGTAATTTAAGATACAATGTTGTAAATTGTTGGGGACTTGAATGCACTTAATAAAAATATTTTTGAGAAAGAACTAGAAAATACATTTGACATAAAAATATTTAATCTTTTATTGTAGTGATTGGCAAATTCCAAATTTGTGACAAGTGGGTGAATGCAAAGAAAGCTCAGGACAAAAGCAAGCAACCACAGCAAGGCGGACAGCGTGGAGGTGGTGGTAAGTATTTTTGTTTGCTTTTATAGTTACCTTAAGTCTTATTCATTGTAAATTGAAAGAAGTATGGTAAACAGGAGAAAAAAACAAAACATTTTTGTTGTATTTTGGATTGTCTCAAATGATCATGGAGGGGTGCTATGGCGACTGGTTAAGGTCTTTGATTTCAATACACTTGCTCCTATATCGTGTAGTTTTAATACTGACAGGGACTTAAGATTAATCTATGAGGAGGCTATCCAGCTGGCTTTTGGGTTTTTAGGTGCCTGACTGGTTAAAATAATGCACCTGGGGTTTTATCCACAGTAAAGTTGAATAGTTGCCTTGTGACCTAGACCTAAATCCAACTAAAAAAAATGGTTGATCTTTTATGATGTCTATTTCTGAGAACTTTGCTTTAAAAAAAAATGGGTAATCGTGTTCACTATCAACATTGCTTGTGCTTGTACGAAAAGGGCACTGTATCTGAGGTCAGAGTTCAATCTAGCTGTCTGAAAAGGGACCCTAATGGTTGAATTTTCCCCTAGAATTTACAAGATGCACATTTTCATGATCAATTCAGAGATAGATAATTCTCAACTTTACAAGTAGAATATGCAACATGACAAGTAGAAAAATGAAGTCTGCTTTTATTGAATGAGCTGAATATCAAGCATATTATGACATATCGCAGGATTGCACACGTTTGCATTTCACAAAAGAATACAGAATACAAAGACGATATTTAGCATTTCTAAAATGCACACTATATAAACCCCATTTATGATCCCTTCAACGATAATCAAGTGCTCATTTTACACATACCTTGACCAGTTTTTCTTCGCTGATTTAAACATAAGGCCTTAAATCTGTGTGGCAGCAAGATTACAATATGGAACCATTTTCAAAAGATAGTGTTTTATATAACCAAACGGGTCAAAAATGAGTTATAAATTGTGATTTTGTAATTAAGAGGGTCGCAGGTGCAAAGGGCACCAGTCTAGTTTGAATACTGCAAGATAATAAAAGTTGATCTTGTTCACTATCAAATTCAAATTTAATTGTTCTTTTGTTTACTTAGGAATGCATTTCTAAAGTGCAGTAAACCAGAATTATTTTGCTGTGCATGTTCCCTTCCTTTACTTGAATATTTTCCTTTTCTTGAAACCTGTCGAAGATACTTTTGAAGTATTTCTAAGAGGTTACTTAGCATCAAAAGTCTGCCTATCATCTTCGCAGATTATGCTCTATTCTTTCTCTTTGCTTTATTATATCCAGCACGTTGGAATGTAGAGACGCAGTCCTAGGAGATGTTTTGTTTCTGTTGGCATTGGATATGTTGAATTATAATGAAATATGTATAGAACAGGATTATTTCTTCACAAGGCTAGAGCTAATTTGGACTGGTATTTCAGGTGGTTACGGACAACAGGGCTATGGCGGTGGCGGTTATGGAGGAGGTGGCTACGGTGGTGGCGGCGGGTACGGAGACAGTGGTTACGGAGGTGGATATGGTGGTAAGTTTCATGCACCAATCACATTTGGTTCTCTAATCTTAATTTGATTATTGTAGAAAATGGTCATTGCCGAGATTAGAAAAGATAAGTTTTGTTTTGTTTTTTTGTCTTGTTTGATTTAGGTTTCTGCTGACACACTTTTCGTATATATTTATAAAGGAAATGATTATGGTGGTGGATTTGGTCAAGACTACCAGGGAAGTTACGGAGGTGGTCCAATGAAATCATCAGGTGGTTACGGAGCTCAGAGATCTCAACCTTATGGAGGTGGAGGTGAGTCATATGATGGTAGGTCCGAGTTCGTACTTATTTCAGGGAATTTTAAAGAAATCTTGCATTCTGAAAAAAAAAAATTTTTTTTTGGCATTGCTCATCTGTTTATTATAACATTAAGGGGCAGCTAAAACAATTGTCATTATTGGCCAGGTTGTCCCACAGCTTGTTTTGAAAATAGAAAATTTTGAAGAGTTGACTGTATAAAATGCTTAAGATGAAAACAGACAAGTCAAGATCAGATTTTGCTGGCTCCAAAGTAAACAATTCATTTTAAATACTGGAAAGTGGTTCCTGGACTTTCTGAAAAATTAAGCAAGTTAAGATAGTCATCATTTCATGAAGTTCTTCTTCATGTGTAGGTGGATATGGACAGGGTGGTTATGGAGGTGGACAGGGCGGTTACGGTGGTGGTGGCGGATATGATCAAAGTGGCGGCTATGGCAGTGGAGGTGGTGGTTACGGAAGTGGCTACGGCAGTGGAGGTGGTGGTGGCGGATACGGAGGTGGCAGTGGAGGAGGCGGCGGTGGCTATGGCAGGCGGTAGACTGGCTCTATCACACACAAAAGGAACACAGTAGATTGGTATGTGTAATTTCCTTTTAAAGGGTCAATTAAGATTTTGGTGTTGAAGTTTGGCACAGTGTTTCTTTTGCGTCATGGTGACTTCATAGCTAAAATTTGATTGACCTTATGCTGCTTAATTAAGAAAAAAAGTTTCATTAAAAACAGGAATTAAGTTCACTTAAGTGATTAAAAATCAGTTGAAATTATTGTTTAAGAAAGCACGTTAACTACTTTAATCTTTTAAATGCCTGCATTATAGTTGTTTTTATCATACTTGAATGATTATGTTACTTTATCAATTCAATCTAGGCTGAATCAATGAAGCATGAGGAATAAATAATCCAGATAATACCTGCCAAAGCAGTCCTTAAACCTTAAGTGCTCCTATGAGGCTTAATTAAGGCTGATAAGTGAAATCTTCCAAGCTGACCTTAAGGATAATGTGATTAAAAGCCAATAAGCCAGTCAATTTAACAGGGAGTATAGTATAGTTGAACAGCTAATAAAAGTGAGGCTTGAGGAAATAATTGGCCTATTCAATTAACACCAATAATAGTGAAATCCTTTAAAGGGATTTAATAAACATCAAGGATAAGTAATGATTGAAATTATAACGGAGACGGCTAATCTACTGTGTTCATGTATCTTTCTTAGTGTTCATTCCCATTGTGAATCATAGTTCAGTATTTCATCCAGAGAAGACTCAACATCCATCATGTAGAAAATCTGATTTTCATTTTCGTATCGTCTTAATGTTGTTTTTTGAAGTAAATAAATCATAATTTTTAACTTGTGAAATTAATTGAGTTATTTCTATTTGAAATTGTAACATGCATTTTAATATTGCAATAAATGTTGGAAAAAGTGCCTCCTATAAAAGATCTATAGAGGAAAAAAGCTTATTGAAATAAGTGACGCCCTGTTTGAAATTGTAAGGAGCACTTGTTAAATTTAACATTTATTACAGTCTTGATGCCATATTTCTTACCATAGTCCAGGAAACTTGAGAGCTGGCAAGGAAAATCTTTCAAATTACCTAAACCTTGCCAATATTAGTCTTGCCAAGTTCTGCCAAATCATTTTGGAACAACTTAAGATTATTTTAAGGTCTGATTCTGTTTTATTCACAAGTGCGGCTCTGAAGTTTCTTGAATCATATATAGTGAAATGTGATTTGAAAGCAAACTTGGTCTCTTGAACAAAAAACCAAAATGTTCATATTTGCCAAAAAAAAAAAAAAAACACCTTGATTTTCACCAATGTATGGCAAAAAAAAATGTAGGGCAGTCAAGATGTGTTACATTAGATGAGTAAAATTTAATGTCATTCTAAGTAGAAATGCATAGCCCTGTGTTGCGACCAAGATCATTCTAGCAAAAAGTTGATATGATACCTGTACAGTAATATCTTGTATGATTATGATGAGAAAAACAATGTCTTGTTTCTTTGGAAAGCTTTACTCAGTGATTTCTGTTTTGATGAATATTTGATAATTTCTGTTTTGATGAATGCTTAATAATTGGCTTTGTTGATTACAAAAAACATTGAAGTTTTCACAATGATATCTGGTCTGATTTAAGAGTGTAACCTGAAAGTTAGATAAAATCAGAAATGAAAGAATATCTTAGAAATGGAAGACAAAGTTTCTCTTGGATTATCATAATGTGTATCTCTAGTTACTTTGGAATATTATGTGCTTGCTAATTTGGTTTGAAAGCCTCAAATTTCGTCAACATGATGAATAAAATTTAAACAAACAGTTGCAAAGTTAATCAGTATGATTAAAACTGCTTTCAAACCAAACTAACCTTATATTCATGTATTTAATACTGTTAATATAACTGTAATAATGCAAATGGTCAGTTTCAAGGACAGCAGAATAATTGATGAATATATTGATAGCAGCAATAGCCCCTAAACATAAGCAATTTAAGGGCGCTTCCAAGGTTGTAATCGCGTAAGGTAAGATCGGATCATTACTTTCTCATTTACTGTTGAACTTTTCAAATTAGTAAAATGGATCAAATTTAAGGTTAACTAAAGAAAAATTTAAGAAGCAAAGCAACAAAAAATATGGACTGCAGTTTCTCATTCTTATTTTTTTTAAAGTAAACTTTTCTCTTCATGATTATATTGTTTTCAGACAGTTTTAAATTGCTAGGAAATGTACTGATTGTACTTTGACATTGTTTAGGCTGTCTTGTGCGATTAACAATCGAGCAACTCCTGGTATGCTTTGGTTGACAGTTTGGTTATGAGGAGGGCTTAATATTTGAAATGGTATGTATTTGCCACAGATACATTATTAAAATTACCAATGCAGTGTGTCTGTTGGATACAATAAAAAACCACAGGCAAAAGTATCGGACCTGGGAAGAAAAAATATGACCAGATTGATAAAAAAAACCTGTATTCATCTTAAAGGTGTCGAAAAAAACCCCAAAAAAATGTATATAATGACCCCCTTTGAAAATATACTTTAAGTTAAGAGAAGGCCGGAAACTCCAGATTCGAGCCTACGAGCAAGGGATTCATTTCCCGGGCCGTTGTGAAAACAATTGGCCAGACAATTAAAAAAAACTTTTTATCACTATTTCACGTTTATATAAAGCTTCAAAATGAAACCAACCCCAAGTCTCTAGCCCTTCCCGTTCATGAAATATCTATCAGGAAACGAGCGACTTCGTGCTAAAAATCCTTGGTAGACATAATTGCGGCACAACAATTCGGTACGTAAACATAGACTAATACATGTATGTCAGCTGACTACGGATCAAAATTACTTGAATTTACTAAATAATATTACTAAATACATTAAGTTGGACCACTCACAACCGTCAGTAGCATCTGATACACGCAAAATTCGAATTTCAAACCTTTCCACGGTCTTTAGATTACTTTCTACGCCATTGTCAATCAGCTGTTCGATATTTTGTAACGAGTCTTCTGATTGGCCAATAGCAACGAAAACGGGAACGTTTCACGCAAGATGCATAATGGCGTAGAAAGCGATTGAAAGACCGTGTAAATGTTTGAAACTCGAATCTCGTGTGTATTAGATGCTACTGACGGTTGTGAGTGGTCCAACTTAATGTATTTAGTAAATTCAAGTAATTTTGACCCGTAGTCAGCTGACATACATGTATTAGTCTATGTTTACGTACCGAATTGTTGTGCCGCAATTATGTCTACCAAGGATTTTTAGCACGAAGTCGCTCGTTTCCTGATAGATATTTCATGAACGGGAAGGGCTACAGACTTGGGGTTGGTCTCATTTTGAAGCTTTATATAAACGTGAAATAGTGATAAAAGTTTTTTTTAATTGTCTGGCCAATTGTTTTCACAACGGCCCGGGAAATGAATCCCTTGCTCGTAGGCTCGAATCTGGAGTTTCCGGCCTTCTCTTAACTTATAGTATATTTTCAAAGGGGGTCATTATATACATTTTTTGGGGGTTTTTTTTTGACACTTTTAACCTTTTCCCTTATATAAGCGTGTTTCGACGGCTTTTTGCCCCCCCCCCCCCCCCCCCCCCCCCCCCTTCTTGAGGCCTAAACAGTGAAAAAATGTCCTATTTAGACCCCAAACACTGTTTTTCGTTCGAGAAATGTTGTTAAAAAAAGTGACCATTTTTTCGGCGCCGCCCCCATCCAAATAATACATCAGGGGGTTGCCAGAAGGGGGATGTGCCCCCTTCTGTTTGGGGGGTTTGAAGGGGGGCGAAGTCCCCCTCATCGCCAAGAAAATTTTGGACTTGTGAGAGGCTTAAAATGACCCCAGGTTGATCATAAAGTAACGTGTAACCAACGCTGAAAAGCCTTTGACTCTATCTCAATCCATTGAGAAGTTGCAGCACTTTGAAATAAATTTTGATGGAAAAAATCGAGGCAAAATAGTGATTTTTGGCAATTTTGAGAGGTCCCCTCGTTGCCATGGTAACAGGAAATTTGAGACTGAGCATGTCGTTACAAAGGCAATGGTCCAGTCAACATTTGTGCCAAGTTTGATTAGTATTGAAGCATTTCTCATAGTTTCATAGCAGTTTGAACTTGTAAGAGGAGGCTTTTCAGTTAAAATGGCCATTTTTCACGATATGCTCATGGGGGAAAGGGTTAAGATGAATACAGGTTTTTTAGCTCACCTGTCACAAAGTGACAGGGTGAGCTTTTGTGATCGCTTTTCGTCCGGCGTCCGGCCGTCCCTAAACTTTTACTATAAATGACATCTCCTCATAAACCACTAAGCCAATTTCATCCAAACTTCACAGGAATGTTCCTTTGGTGCTCACCTTTAAAAATTGTTCAAAGAATTTAATTCCATGCAGAACTCTGGTTGCCATAGCAACTGAAAGAAAAAACTTTAAATATCTTCTTTTAAAAAACCAAAAGAGCTAGAGCTTAGATATTTGGCATGAAACATCTTCTAGTGAGTGTCTACCAAGTTTGTTCAAATAAAAGCCCTGGGGTCAAAATTGGCCCCGCCCCAGGGGGTCATTGATTTTGCCTATATGCATATAGTAAAAACTTAAAAAATCTTCTTTTAAAGAACCAAAAGAGCTAGAGCTAAGATATTTAGCATGAAACATCTTCTAATGAGTGTCTTCCAAGTTTGTTCAAATAAAAGCCCTGGAGTCAAAATTGGCCCCACCCCAGGGGGTCATTGATTTTCCCTATATGCATATAGTAAAAACTTAAAAATCTTCTTTTAAAGAACTCAAAGAGCTAGAGCTAAGATATTTAGCATGAAACATGTTCTAATGGGTGTCTACCAAGTTTGTTCAAATAAAAGCCCTGGGGTCAAAATTGGCCCCGCCCCAGGGGGTCATTGATTTTCCCTATATGCATATAGTAAGAACTTAAAAATCTTCTTTTAAAGAACTCAAAAAGCTAGAGCTAAGATATTTAGCATGAAACATGCTCTAATGGGTGTCTACCAAGTTTGTTCAAATAAAAGCCCTGGGGTCAAAATTGGCCCCGCCCCGGGTGTCATTGATTTTCCTTATATATCTAAGCAAAAACTTAAAAAATCTCTTTGAAAAAACCTAAATAGCTAGAGTAAAGGTATTAAGCATGAAACATCTTCTAGTGAGTGTCTACAAAGTTTGCTTAGATAAAAGCCCTGGGGTGAAAATTGGCTCTGCCCCGGGGGTCATTAATTTTCCAGATATGTGTATAGCAAAAACTTAAATATCTTCTTTGAAAAAACCCAAATAGCTAGAGTTTAGATATTAAGCATGAAACATGTTCTAGAACGTGTCTACCAAGTTTGTTCAAATAAAAGCCCTGGAGTCAAAATTGGCCCCGCCCCAGGGGGTCATTGATTTTCCCTATATGCATAAAAATTATAGTAAAAACTTAAAAATCTTTTAAAGAACTCAAAGAGCTAGAGCTAAGATATTTAGCATGAAACATGTTCTAATGGGTGTCTACCAAGTTTGTTCAAATAAAAGCCCTGGGGTCAAAATTGGGCGGGGAGATATTTAGCATGAAACATGTTCTAATGGGTGTCTACCAAGTTTGTTCAAATAAAAGCCCTGGGGTCAAAATTGGCCCCGCCCCAGGGGGTCATTGATTTTCCCTATATGCATATATTAAAAACTTAAAAATCTTCTTTTAAAGAACTCAAAGAGCTAGAGCTAGATATTTAGCATTAAACATGCTCTAATGGGTGTCTACCAAGTTTGTTCAAATAAAAGCCCTGGGGTCAAAATTGGCCCCGCCCCGGGTGTCATTGATTTTCCTTATATATGTGTATATCTAAGCAAAAACTTAAAAAATCTCTTTAAAAAAACCTAAATA